AAATCCCAAGAAAAACGCATTGCTTTATTTAGATCAGTTCATCAAATAAATAATTGTCAAATGTCAATTCAATAACAATGCTCGATAGTGCGAAAGAAACCATTTAATAAAGGGCGACTGTGATTTAGTTTTATATGAAATGGAAAGAATGGTGTGGAAAGGTTTGTTCCAACTTATTTTTGGTTGCCAAATGGACATCACGTGAGGCGCATGTGACTATTTCATCCAACTTAACAGCTTAGTTTGACGGACGACCAAAATTGTCAAAAAAATGTAAGTTGAGAACTAAAATTGGGGAGAGAAATGTTTGAGAACAAAAATCATTTTAGGTGATAGGTGTAGAAATTACCAAAAATGTAATTATCCAAACTTTCTTTTTAGAGGAAAATATTGAGGTAAGGTTAAATAGCGAAAAAATCTCTCATGTTTGAGTAATTACAATTTCCCCTCAACTATGAATTTCTTGCACGTCCACCCTTATGTATCAAATTAAACCTAGATTTCGTGAAATGTTCTCTAATTTGTACTCGTTTTTGTGCAAAAATACAGTTTCTGATGCACTACAATCTGATATTTACAAACAAAGGGACACATCTTTTGATCATCTTGTTTTAAAATGTGGAACCCAATGGGGTAAAACGGGTACAAACTAGAGAATATTCGACACAATCTAGAAGATTTCTACTAAATTTGACATTACAATGGTGGACGTGTAAGAAGATTCATAGTTAAGGGAGGTGGTTGTAATTACCCAAACATTAGAGGTTTTTTCGTAATTGATCTTACCTTAAGGGGTGACTTCTCATATTGTGGAAAAGCGTTGCCGAATCAAATTATCGGGTTTAGGACACATGTTTTAATAGGAATTTATACGACCAATTTTTTTTCTAAAAAAACCATTGCTTCACACCACATCGGATGCATATCTACTGTTGATTTACACACACCTATGTTGGTATGTGCGCGCTTATGAATGGTAAAGATCTACCCGGTGTATTTCACCGGTATAGCATATTATAAACGAGGCAAATTTTTTTCTTCCATTATGACTGATAAGTTTACGATTTACTCCCTATGTCCCATGTTATATGTCTTTTTATGATGTTTTTTTTTTGTCCCAAATTATTTGTCATTTTAGAGTTTTAATAAAGCTTTGATTGCATTTTTACTAATTTTGCCCCTTTGCCACTTATCATTCTTAATTACTCCTAATTGAAAAATCTACGCATATATTATTTATAGAGTTTTCTTAATATGCGCGCAATCAACCAAAACGAGATCTAATATGCGACGGAGGAAGTATTGTTAAGTGATAACAGTTGTAAGCGGTAACCTCTTTGAATTAGATGAATTTAGATGAACCAAATTTAAACTAGACAACAACTTTCATATGCCGCAAATTAGGGGGAAATAAAAAAAAAAAAAAATATATATATATATATATATATATATAGTGCAACTAGAAAAAATATCTGAACAAGTAGCATGCTGACCCAAATCCAACTATACACTGTTACAGTGAAATATCCGTAAAAAAAAAATTAGGATAGGCCGTACAAAATATTTATATACAGAAACTTGAACACCCTCATTGAGCCACACTAGTTGTGCAAGTTGTACACATTCGAAGTAAGCCGTGGTAAGCTCCTCGTACCTAGGACTTTTGTTACACGAGTTCGAATAAGAATATTCCCAAAAAAAAAAAAGACAGAAAAGGGTCCTCCTTAAAGATAGTGTTCATCATCTCCACAGGATCGGAGCAATATGTGGCGGCACCGTATTTTCTTAATTGGTTGCAAAATTAAAACTAGTTTGAAGGCCTCTCTAGGGCTGACCAACCAAATCTTCCTTTACGGAAGTCCGACAAAATACGAAATGCTGCTTGGTGAGTGTCTCCGTTGAATAACTTAAGAGCAAGCTTCTCGACAAAACTGCAATTTTCATTAAATTCCAAAATGGTAAATGTTTAGAATTATGGACCAAACACATTTGAAGGAAATTGCGAGATGTCGAATGTTTTCAAATGTGAGTGCCTCTTCTGCAGAAAAAAATTAGACTTCATATTAGATGCTATATGCAACACAAAACTTACTTTCTACCAGCCCGACCATCTGCCTCGATCTTGTAGCGGTTGTAAAGAGCTTTGTTACCTGTTTCAAACAAGCGACTGTCATTAAGAGGGATTCTTGGAATCCGATAACGGGAAACTGTCTTGAAATAATTTCCAGTTTCTTATTTTAATTATTATATCATAGGGTCCGAAATGGTAGCCCAAACGGTGAATTCCAAGTGCGCAACTTCCATAAGATATCCGAGTTTTACTGCGACGTAGTAAATAGACAACATACCTACTGCTGGAAGGCGTGCCAAAATCTGCACGAGAATTGCTGCAACTTCAGAAAAGTCATAAGACCTCTCTCCAATGTCGTCACATATGGCAAGTTTAATAGCAGCTGATTGATCGTTGATCCTCATCGGAATTATACCAGGAGAATCCAACAATTCCAAGTCCTTTCCAAATCGAACCCACCTTTCAAATACATAAACCAACATTAGAATGTACAAGTTGGTTAAATTATTCGATTTTTAACTATGTCTTTGTTTTCTTCCAAGTTTGTGCTTTATGATTGACAAGGGAAAGGGTAGAACATACTTTAGCTCCCTCGTAACACCTGGCCTTGGAGCTGCAGGACACATCCGACGCTTAAGCAACCGGTTTATCAGAGATGATTTACCAACATTCGGATATCCTACTATTCCAGCACGAACCTGTAAAATGACGAATGAATCCCTCATACAGGTAACTGATAATAGCTCATGCGTAACCAGACAGAAAACTTCGATTGCCTTAATTTACATCTTTTTTCTAATTGAATCCCAAATTAGAATCTTTTTCTTTTTTTTATGAAAAGGAGAAAAATATTTGGTTGAGTTAGCATATCTATTCATTGCAGGACATAATGCTCGACCGTCTTCTGAAAAAACAAGAACATGCATGAACCTACATCATCTAAATATATCACAAAATACTATTATGTGCAAGAACATGAGTTTGAAACGTTACCGACTGCTTATTGTCACAACTGGCAAAAACCATTTCCAAGAAACTAAAAAGAAATTGGTCAACAGAACTGAACATCTAACTTGAGCTTCAAAAGTGTCACGATAGAATCCACTAAGGCGTGTACACCATAATAATCAATCGCAAGAAACTTACAGGACGGGGAAGTAGTCCTTTGGATTTGCGCTTGATGTTTACTCCGTCGGCCAATGCCTTTGCTAACCTAGTTAGCTTCAGGCTTCCCTGAAGTTACAAAATTATATTTATCGAGTTATCATTTAAAATTACCATATAGTCAACAATTTCAAAGATGTAGCTTTAAATACCATTCCGAGCTGTCCATTGGCAAAGATAACTTTCGTCCCCTGCCTGGCATAATAACTAGCCCAAGCATTTCGATCAGATGCGGATATCATGTCTTCTCGATTCAAAACGATAATCCTCTTCCTATTCCCCAACCATAAATCCATCTATTCATGAAAGTCAAACCAAAATGGATACCAAGACATAGTAATAATAATACGGGAAAGATTTAGTAGCATAAAAATATAATATCAAGGCTATCAGATGTTGTAAGAGTGCACCTTGTTTTTTTTACTTTGGGTGAAACATGCTAAAAATATTAGATTTTTTTTCATTCTCAAAATCTTTTCGTACCACAAATTCAAATAGTTTTGATTGTCTTCCTTCAGAAATGCTACAAATGAGAAAAAAAAAAAAAAAAAAAAAAAAAGGTGTATACGTTCGTATAACAATTTGGTGACACGAGTATCTTCACCCAATTCATATGCAACATAAACGTGAAATGAACACTTAAATTGCAGTTAGAAAGAAGTGTAAGGTTTCCCCAAACAGGTTTCTTGCATGAAAAAACCAACTAAAAGTTCATAATATCTCATATCATAAACGCCAATACATAATAAACCGAAAAGATTTAACCTGTGGATGGCTGGTGGCCAAGGGTATTCTAGCATCTCGAACTTCTATCACAACATCCATCAATTTGAGCTGGTCCTTGAGTTCTTTTTCGGTTTTTCCAATGTGACCAGGATACCACTATTAGATTGTCCGAACAGTAAAATTACAAAAAGTTGAATGTCAGATTCTACAACCTATAATCGAAACAGCTATTGCAAAACGATCGGTTCGGTAGTGAAGTCCACACCTTATTCATACCTGAACGGGACGTAATGCCTTCGTCCAGTGGCAAATATCAGCTTCCAATTCCGCCCAATCGAACTCTCCGGGGTCAATATCCAGTTTGGAGTTCTCCATTCCATTCCATCCCATATTTTTTCCACCAACAATCTGCAATTTTTGTTTTGGGGGTTGTAACTTGTAAATGATTATTCTATCCAACTTAGAAGAAATACTGAATGTTAAAAGTAAAATGATATGTACGAAAAGAAAAATCTGCTAGAAATGAGTTCAATTTCAGTATTAGGTTAAGAAATTGGTACACAGACGCAACAACAAACTGAATTAAGAAATAGCTAGTTCGTCTTGCCTGGATGGTGGAAGGATGTGCGGCGGGCAGAGAGGCGGACGGAGAACGATTGTGACGGAAGTGGAGTAAGTTTCCGGCGAGTGAGACGGTTGGGCTGTGAAGCCAGACACCAGAAAGCTGAGCTGCCATCGCCAATTCTCTCCGGGAGGCGAGAGGATATGTGGAGTAAAAAATAATTATAAATTAATAAAAAATGAATATTGTGGTTATTTTGCTATCTTCAACGGCAGCTTGATTTTCCTTTGAAGAGTCGTGTGTAGCCAAAATGCGTTTCTGTCAGTTTTCAGTAATTCAGCAATAGTAATATGTAATGTAACCATTTCGGGATTTATTCTTTCATTTAATTAATATTCTTTTATTCCAGAAACTAATTTTAAAGGTAAATCAAATGTACACATCTCTAAAATTTCATTTGAACATTGGATATTTATTCATAATTTGTTAATTGTACTTAGGAATGGAAATTGGACGGATCCCGATCTGATTTTTTTTTTACACATTATTTTTCATTCTCAATTATGAGAAATCCAATTTCAAAAAAACAATGGTCAGAATTCGTATACATAGATTTCGATTTTCCATCCAATCTTAATTTTCAAAAGTAAATCTAAAAAAAATCCTTTTTTCCCAAAAATTACACGTACAATAGCAATATTATTATGTAGTATATACTGTATTTCGCTTCCAAAAAATATTAGAACTTCTCCGAAAATTCTGACAATCGGATATAATCCGTCTGATTCACACCTCTAACCATACCTACTGTAAATGAATATGTTTTTGTAACTAAAAATAGGACACCCTTTCATTTTCTTTTGTTAATTCTCTCTCTTTCCCTTCTTTTTTTGGGCTTTGAAGCACAACAATATATTAAAATATCGCGCATAGTACATGCAGGAACCGTAAAATATTTCACAGCACACAGACACATTCACAAAATCCGATTCTGCACAATGTTCCTTCTTCAACACATGATTGAATCCGAAACTTAGCAGAGAAAATGCATGCACGAGCTGTCGCTTGTACGAGATAATTGTATCCAGGTAAGTACTGAGGCAAAATCAAACCATCATTATATGGCGTTTTTTGCATTAAAATGGGGAAAATTACAACAAGATGCCTCCAGACTAAGGCAAACCTCAAAAGTGGGAACTAATCAATTTATGTACATTATCCTGCACTCACTAATTAGTCAAAATATCAGTCAACAAAACTGCTGCCCAATCCAACCTACCGTCTTATTTCACCTTGGACAGGTCTCGTCAGAATTCTCGCAAAATAATTCCGAGTCTCTGGTAAAATACGTTGGATCAGCTGAGTATACCTGTGCATTCAGTTACACAACAAATACATCACCATAATACACATTAAAGACTATTTAAATAAATAAATTAAAAAAAAAAAAAAATTGAAGGGTGAAAGTCAAACATACCATGGCATGATACATAACTTGTCATACTTTTCCAGGATGAATAGAATCGAAGCATGTCTCAAAGACAACGCATTAAACGCCTCCGATAACTCAAACATGAGTGACACGTTTTCCACTGATATGTCCTTTAGAAGATGAGAATAAATTATCATAAACATAAGAAAAATATGTTTATTATTTTTTTAATTTTTATTTTTCTTTTTATGTGAACTCACCTGTGCAATGGCATATTCGCAGAGACGCTTCAAACCCTCCAAAAGATACTGATCGGCAGCACTCAGAAGATCCTGTGCGATATCCGCATTGACATCAACAGATCCTGTGTATATATATCTGCAACCAGAGATCAGCATTTACCAAGAGAAAAATGAGAACTGATTTACGATTTCATAGGAAAAGCAAAGAATTGGGGATAAAAGTTATGATATATATTATTTCACCTCATCATCAATTCAAAAACATCCCATCTGATATTAGGAATCTCTATGTCTTTGGCGTCTCTCTCCTGCAATATTTCAGCAAGTTTTTAGAACATTAACAGAACCAACCAAGCACAAACAAAAAATATTCCCCCATAACATTCATTCTCACCAGACCTTCAGAATACAATTTCATCTAAAGATTATGTTTTTAACAAGAATCGTTAAAAAATTAGACGTTTTCCCTAATCCAAGGTTAAATCTTGATTTCCCCAACTTTAAGATATATTGTGGTATATATCACAGAATCTCTATTTTTTTATTTTTTTTATTTTTTTAATATTTGGATTTTCACAAAATAAAATGTCAATAATGTAATTGATGACATAACAGGTTCACCCAAACTGGACAACTAAGATCTAACGTTTGAACTATCATGACAGTTCAATTCATTAGTGAAATCATTTAAAAAGGCTCCACAAGGAAATATGTACACGTATCTTTCTACAGGATACATGCTCTTAAAGAGGGGAGAGAGAGGAAGCGAAGCATAGTCCCTGATACTTTAGTGCAACATAAAATATAAAATAGACAACACAATTTGAAAATAGTAAATGTATTTAAGAGAGTCTCACCCGGTAACCACCATCAAACATAGCGCGAAATGCATCAGAAGAAGCAAGCAAGCAAATTCTGTGTGCATAGAACCGTTTTCCTTCATAATAAAGACAAAAATGATAAGTTGGTGGTAAGAAATTGGACAAGACGAGCAAGAACATAGAAAGCATGCAAGGATCTTAAGACAGATTTCCACCTTCGACTAAAAATGTCACATCAGACAATGTAGGACTATTTACGTACTGCTCACCCAAGTACACCTGCAGCAAAATGTTGAACTGTTACAACAAAACACCAGAATGAAAATTGACTACTTTGCACCTCTAAAAACGCAATGAAAATAAGCTTTTCTCCTGTCCAAAGTGATTGTTACTAGTCCTGGATCCAGCAAACTACCGCAATCCAAAGATGAAATGATTTTTTGGAGGAAAATGTTTTCATCTGTATTACAAGATATTCAAAGAGTTGATGGGATCTCTCCAAGGCATTGCACACAATTACTAGAAGAAATTTTCCACAAGTTACTTTGGAACATACCAAAATACTAATACTGAAAGAAAATAAGGAAAGCAACAAAAGTGCCATCAGAATTCAGTACAAAGGGATGTACTTCAAAAAGACCAAAATTGTCAATTTCCATAATGGTTTCAGCTTAAAATCGCAGTCCTCGTGACTCTAACAGGGAAGTGAAGATAAAATTTTAAGCATAATTGTGCAACATTGCAGGAGTGTAGAGAAAATTCAGGACAGAGAATTTCTAATATAAGCTTTAGGCAACTCTCACTGTTAAGTTGTAACATAATAGCAATTGATATTCCTTTTTCCCTAGTTTAAGAAAATCTTCTCCGACATTTTTACTGAAATCTGAGTATATTTCAATGGTAAACAATACTATAATATGGCCCAACCATTGAACTGACTGACCGATTCAACCAATATAATCAGAGATTGCAAATTGTCACCTGAGGTATAGGAGAAGGAGGAGCTGCATCAATAGGAGAAACTGAGCTTGCTTTATTGGCTAACCTACATAAGGCCATAGAACTATCTCTTTGGTGCTTTGAGTTAGTGGATTCCAAAAGCTCCAAAAGCAACGCCAATCCTGCAAGAATATAAGGTGCAAGTCTGTGAGACACAAGTCTGTGCAGGTTGTTGTGATGCCAATTTTATGAGCTAATTTGGCAAATAGCATACCGTTGTTATCAATGAAAGTGGTCCTTTGATCATCTGGAGAACAAAGATGAGCGAGAGCAAGAGCCACGCGTCTTTTAACATTTTTTTCTCCCTCACGCATCATGAACAATAAATGACTCAATACCTGCCCCAGGAAAATATTAACCAAGTTCAAAATCCATACTAGAAGCAATTAAACAGTAACAATAACCAATTAAGGCTTAGCCTACTAAGGCTTAGCCTAGTTGGGGGTTCGAATACCTTTGGGTGCTAAGCCCGTGTTATAAGGCCAAAAAGAAAATACGAAGAGAAAAAAAAAAGAGTACCAATAGCAGCTCAACTATACACCACATAAAGGTTTTATTGATCTTCTCTCTGGATTATATATATATATATATATATATATATATATATAAGTTTCAAATGATTCTGCTTTAACTATTTCACATCCTACCTATCTTTTATTTCTCGAAACATAATTTTGTTAAATAAATTATATGAAATACAACATTATGGTCATATTAAAAACAACTGGAAGTAACTCACCCGCCCATGAATCTTCTCTTCAAGTCTCTTTAGCGTCTTGGCTACACAATCCCTAGTAGGCTGCAGCAAATAGAAAATGAGTAGATATATCACCCACATGTATCAAGGTATAGTATCATTTAGATTAACCCAGTTGGTGATATTTCTCTAATAGAAAAGATAACCAGTTGGGCTCAGGATTGTACTTGGACAATAAATTCACCATCTTGAAGTTTCTGAATACCCCCGACCCTAATAAGATCTGCAACATTATCCTACAGAGGAGAGAGTGAAGAAATAAAGGAAAAGAAGAACAAGAAAGTATAGCAAGCCCAGCCAAAAAATTGGGCAAAGCTTTACAGATATGACTAAACAATTATCTGCAATATGCAATACCTCATTATCTGCGAGCCCATAAAGAGCAAATGCAGCATTATGTTGCAAAGATCCATTTTTGGATTCAAGAAGCTTCAGCAACGGTACTACTCCACCGCTGTGGGCAATACCAGCCTGATTATGTGGATCCTGCGACGGCGCTAAAATTAGTATTAAGTGCAGAAAATAGATAAACAAATAAAAGTCAACAAGAATCATTTGGAATATAAATGGATGTGCGAAACTAATGGGACAAAAAGGAATGCCGAAAATGTTACCTGAGCTAATCTTCCTAGGGCAAATGCTGACATTTCTCTTAATTGTGCATCTGATGACTGGAGCATTTCTATGAGAGGAGGGACAGCACCTCTTTGAACAATATGCACCTGTAGAAGAATCACACCAGAATTTGTGAGTAATGATCGATTTGGGGCTGAAAAAGCAACTTTCTTGTATAAATAATTAGGTTAAAGTAGAAAAGCATTGTCTTGGTCAACCTTACAGTCTGAATCTGTTGCAGCAAATTGCCCAAGAAGCAGAGCAGCTTCTCTTTGGCTCTCCGAACAGCAGGAGCTGTTATTCAGAAATGTCGGATTAATACTTCAAGTGAAAAACAAAAGCAGTCTTAAACAAAATTGATAATTCCAAAGGATTGATGAAAAGTGGATAATAGAATAGAAAAACTTAAGGAAAAAACTATGTAGGAAACAGAATTTGCAGAAGTAACTCGTGAATTGGATCCTCTAGTTAATATTGTGCATATTGTGGAAACAAATCAGACTAAGCAATATAAAATCCAGAAGACATTATAAAAGTATTATTCCACAAAATCTTCTTCAATGTGTATATAGAGGTCAGAGGATCAGCTCATTTGATCACTTCCACCACATTTCACCCTCTACTACAACAAGAAATTAGACAATCACTATAGCCATTAACAAAAGTCAAACGTGAACACCATAGGTTCAATGCAAAAACAGTAAACTAGAACCCCATCATCAGCTATATTTTACTTTGAAATCATAACCTGATTTCTGTCACTCCTATAAAAAACAGCACCTTATTTATCAAGCAATAACATGGGCAAAGTCAAATCTCTCTACCAGATTTACCACTTCAACTAACAACACAAGAACAACGGTTTAGATATCAAGAGTCGAGCAAAATATGAATGCTTAACTTGTATGAAATTTATTTCATTCCTCTCTATTTCCAATAAGTATTTTGAACTATAAAACTAGAGAACATTTTCAAATTGGTGAGACACACCAAATTTTAATAAGTTATCATCATGTAATCACTTCACACAAGACATACCATGGTTGAGCAATAGAAATTATCAACCACATCAAAAAGGAACAAAGAATCAACTCCAATGAGATATACTACCAAGAAGGAAATAGTGATGAACAAAAACAAACATCACGAAAATGATTTCATCAGCTACAACACGTTCTGAAGGGTGCCATAAAACCAATGCTGTTATTTTAGCTCTGGTCAAATAACAAAACAAGATGGTGTTGGTGTTCAAGGAGGGGTTAACAAACCAATGCCCACAAAGTTTTTAACGAGGCCCCGATGTACTTTCCTATTTTATTGCAGGAATAGGAAAATATTTTTGGCTAAAAAGAAAAAAAGAAAAGATAGGCAGACGCCAGCTTCTCTAATTAATCAAAGCTCAGTCTTTTCTTTAATGTGATGAAAGACAAGATCCTTGACAGAGAAGTTTTCAGCTGAGAATACTGGATTTCTAACATATAGCAGATCTTACCGAAGTAACCCGATGACAGGTTGCAGAGCTCCAGCAGCAAGAACTTCCTTCTTAATGTTTGGAGATGAGTGGACCAGATTACCAATAACACCAACCTGATAGTTTGAATAATTAATTGTATGAGTTCTTATAAAATCTGAATCCAAATAATTCACAATTAATATTAAACTGCTATGAAGTACAGAAAATATAAAATAGTAGCAAACCGCTTCATAATGTATGGCAGCATCCTCAGACCGCAGCATTAGTATAAGCGTTGGTAGAGCATTGCATTCCACAATCTGAAAACAGTAAGAAATTAAAGAAGGTACAAGGGGAAAAAAAAGATACTCCAAAAGCTAATGAAGTCAAATAACCTGATTTTTGTTCTCATCGTTTTTAAAAGCAAGGGTTCGAAGGGCTCCAGCTGCTGCTCTCTGCACCTTTGCATCAGCAAATTCGAGCAATTCAACAAGAGGAGGGATACCACCCTCAATTCTGAAAGCATCATTCAAGTATTACAAGGCAGGCACAACATATTTATCCAATCATAAAAGTACCCAACAAGACCAACCTAACACGGGTTTTAATGCTACTATTCTCATGAGCAAGATTAGTGATTGCATCAGCTGCTCTCCTAATCACACCATTTACCACCCGAGAGTTTGGAACAGCGCTATGCCTCTTTAACAGATCTACAAGAGGGGGTAGAGCTCCGGCATCGACAATGAGCTGTTGATGCTCTGGCTGTCAAACACAGGTGGTAGGCAGACAAACCATTATAAGTGGTATGAAATCACATAAGATCATATTTAAGCAATAAGTAACAGGCACTAGATCTTTCTAATCACGGTTCATCCTTCCATAAAAGATATCTAAAGAATATATCAGGTCGGAAAAACAACAATATTACCTATCCATACGAAAAGTTTATCGGCCTAAATGCAACACAAGACTTTATGTGCTTAGCATTTTCCATAAAATTAAAAACTAAAGCCCGACCTTTATATGTAAGTATAAGTTTACATATTTAGTAACATTATTAAATTCAGCAATCAAAGAGCTGAAAAATATTTCGTGAGTGTGCATCTTTCTAGACTTAAATAGGAGAAAAAAGAAAGAGCACAACTAGTTAAGGCCATAAACATTCTTAAGTTTTCTCCATGGTTCATGTCCAAAGAGACAGGATACCATACACCATTGGTCTCAGGCCGCAAGGTTTTATTGCGTTAATACTCCAACACAAGGATTGGCTAACTTGCCACAAAAGAAGCAGAACTTAACTGACTTAATAATTAGAAAATGGAATCCATCAGACTTATAAAACACAATAATTAATATCCTGGCACATTACCGATTCATGTGTCCCAATTTCAGAACAGGAACCTAATAACTCAAGCAAAACCAAGGAATGGCAACTTAAAACATTACTTAAATTTGCTTAACTAGGAAAGCAAAAGAACCACGAAAAACATAAAGAACAATAACTCTGAAGTAGAGCAATTACTTTAATGGCTAGAAGTCCAAGAGTGAAGGCACTTCCTTTCTCCACTTCGTGCTCGTACAACCTCGGACCACTTTCTATCTCTGTCACCAACGGCGGAGCCTTTAGATGCTTTACCAGAACTGGAACTGCCGCACAGTCCACTATCGCATTCACTATGTCCTCTGCAAACACACATGCATAATTCCCTCACAAATCATAAACTCAAAATCCAGTACCACTGAAAAACACTTACCCAGGCATTAAAAAATCGAATTGATTAAACAATTCACACAAAAAGGGGGAAGTTTATGCACTCACTATATCCTCTACAACCACAGCCGCAAAATTCTTAACACAATTAAAACCCTAAAGTCCAAATCCAGCACATGCAGACTGAAGGAAACGATTAATCATGCACAAATCAACTCACTGAACCAAAAAACGAACAACAGAAAATTGAAGGAATCCTATGAGTTTTTCTCTTTTATTCTAATTTTCCGACTTCTCCAGTACCGTTTTTGGCGAGCTCAGAAAGGACGTGAATTGCGCGTTTGACGGAGGCGCGATCCTGCTCGGCGGAGGAGGAGGCAACGGAGTCAAGGATCTCAACTTGAGTGCGAATTTCGGTCACGAGATCTTGCTGCGAATCGGAAGGCGATTCACCGCCGATCCTGCCGCGATCTTCGCCGGAATCCTCGTCGAGTTTCCGCTTCAAGCTCCTCCGAGAACTCGTCGCCGATTGCTCGCGGTGACGCCGCCCGGAGTTCTGGTTCTGGTTCTCCATGGAGAGAAGGATATCCGATGGGGTAGAGATTAAATGTTTAGTGTGTGAAATGGTTTTCGGTTTGTCGGAGAGGTTGAGTGCGAGTGAGGGTAATTTGGGGATTACACTTCTATTATGTGGGGGGCTATTTTTACGGGGAGGGGGGCGTGTGATTTATTGGAGCAAAACCCAACTTTATTCAAACAATAATTTTGAACCTCTCTCTCCCGCGTTTCGTCATTAAAAAAAACATACCAAAAGTGCTAAACTTGGAAATAATTATCTCAAACGAAGTACATAAACTTCAAAAGACACCATAAATTTTAGGTAAAAAAATAATTATACTAATAAAATATACCATGGTTATAGTTTCACTTAGGGTGGTAATTGGCATGGGATTTTCGATTTCCGTAGATTCCGATACAAAATTTTCAGATTTTGAAACAATATTTTTCATTTTAATTTTGAAAGTGTTTAGTTCGGTCTAATCCATCATTTTCATCCCTAGTGAGAACGATGAAAATAAGAAATTAAAATATTTAAACAATTCTTTTTTTCTTATAACCATCTTTTTTTATACATATAAGAGTAAATTTGGGCGGAGGGGGTTTGATTTGGGGAATGGATTTGAAATTACCCCAATTTGAAGTCATTTGAAATCCACTATAATTGCTCATTAAACAACTAAAAATGAGGGATGTGGATTTAATATTCCTTGTGAAATCCCTCAATCCAAACAAGTTAAAGGGATTTGTTATTATGGATTTGAAATATTCCCTCCATCCAAATGGACCCTAAAGGAATTCTCTGTAATTCAATTCGAAACACATGGATTTCCAACTGAGACTTATAAGATCGGTCGATATAAAAACTTGATATTTATCAATCATAAATTTATATGATTTTGTTAGTTTAGGTTTCACAACAATTGTGCATGTGGTGGATGCTCAGGTATTATGAGTGGACAATCAAATATTGTGGGTGCATGTTTAATGTACTATAAGGATAGGGTTTGTGTTTTTCCTAACACCAATTAGTTTTAGGGCAATTGGTATCATCTCCAGGTCCTATAAATGGTATCAAAGCCAATGTCATTGGTTCGGTTTCCAACGAGAGCAAGTGGTGAAGGAGAATTGTTAGAGCATCCACAATGGGCTCTTTAAACACATTATTTGTGTCAGATTTGGGGCCATCTCCAAATGTTAGAGAGCAAGGGCTGCTGTAGTGGGAAATTTTATGCCTCTTTATGGCTCCCCAAATTTTGAAAAATTCTAACTAACTCCCCACAGTTAGGAGTCACTTAATAAGGCATTGTGGGGTCATGTGATTTATTTATTATTTTCCTACATGTGATTTATTTATAAAATTCTTACGTATTTATTATTTTCCTACATGTCATTTATTTATAAATTTCTTACGTTTTGCATTGTTGGATTCCTTTTTTTTTTTTTTCTTTGTTTTTAATAATTTATGAAATCATTTATAGCTATTATTTTGTAAATAAAAAATATCTATTACATCCATAAATTTTTTTTTCTATTTTACTTTACTATAAACTTTACGGACTATTTTTAATATTTTACGTTATTAATATTTATGTCAATTTATGTTATTTGTAAATATTTTAAATTTGTAAATACAATTTATATAATTATAAAAATAGACAAAAATAAATAATTCACAACTTAATTAAAAATTATATATAATAAATTAAAATAGTTTCATTTAAAAAGTAATATAAATTGATAATAGTTATATATTTTACTAAATAAGTATAATAAAAATAAAAATATAATTTCATAATTATTATATTTATAATGAATATTTTATTAGAATTTAATATTTGGGGACATTTTAGGGAGGACCTAAAACCAACCCATTGGAGTAGATTGTAATTTGGGGAGTGTTTGAGTGGGACCCATTGCATAAGGAGGTATTTAAATGTGTAGGTGGCATGTGGGACCCACATTTTAGGGAGGAGTTTTAGGGATACCCATTGTGGATGCTCTTAGCTTCGGTTCGGCACCAATTTCCCACATGGCGCAAGGCCGAGTACGGGTGCATGACCATCAATATTATGAGCGCTTGTGTATCTTGAATGCTTTATAAGGATATGATTTGTGTCTTTACTAACGCCAATTAAATTTAGAATAACTGATAGCGCATGAGGTCCTACAAA